CTGGGGAGCATGGTAAGTGTATACAGGCAAAAGACCTAGGGATAGAGGGATGATGTGTGAGTTCACAAGCAGGAATTGAGGCAAGAAAAGAAAAGATGTGAATGAGGTTCACAGATTTAACCTAAAGTATTTGTTAAATATACAGATGATGCCTAAGAGAGTTGAGGGTCTGGGACAAAACTGAGAGTTGGAATCATGGAATTGAGTAATATTTCTTACATTAAGTTCACAATTCAGCACAACAAAGAGGTTGAAATTTTTAAATTTATTTTCTGGCATTCAAAGTTATAATTATATATTCTTACTAGCCTGTATAGACTGCAATTTAAACAGTATTAGGTTTCTGGCATCGGATAAGTAGTGAAATAGAAAAAAAAAAGGATAATTTAGTGCCAGGCCAGAGCTCTTGGAAATGGGAATCAGAGAGAGGGTGTCCCCGAATTACATCTCAGTATCTGTGGAGAACTGGTCATCCTTGCCCCACCCCACTAAGCACTCATCTCTGAAGGGCTTGATCTTTAGGTGAGAGTGGAGGACTCATGAGAAGTATTTCTGAAGGTTCAGATTTGGATCAGCCATATGTGAAGGGAATAGGAAACAATACCCAGTGTTCAGCAGAAAGCGTGGGTATCAGGGCTCTAGAAAGCAGGCTAGAGTTCAGGGCCAGGCCTCGGTCTCACTGGAGCAACTGGGTTGCCAATCAGAATACCATTGTAGAAGCCCTGTCTCGGGTAAGGTCAGTAGTGTTGAGGGAAAGGGAGCTCAGTGAGCACAGGGAACCTAATCTCTCACCAGGATTCAGAGTTAGAGTCAGAAGAGCAATGTTGGGTCCTGTCCTCTTGGGGGAATGGGTTTCTGGTAAGCTTGGTCAAGAAGGATTGGGAAGTGGGTGATAGTCATCATAATTTTGTAACCTGTAGAGCTGAGACAGGGATTCACATTTTTAGTTTTAAATCTTCACTCTGTGGCCTTAAAGGTCCAGAAACGTCCCAAAAGCTTGTATTTACTTGGAATTCCTCATCCTACCCTCTCCAGTGATCCTGGTCTCTCTTTTGTGTAGAGTCCTGCTGTGCCTGCATGTGTGTTCTTGCCTATGCATATCACACACACACACACACACACACACACACACACACACACACACACAGAGGGTTACTCTCCTTGTTTGCCTTCTAGGAGGTGCACAAGCAATGTACATGGTGAACATACCCAGACAACACCACTGTTGAGTCCCCAGTGTAAATTCCAGCATCTGTGCAGTTTCTGCCCATTCTTCCCTGTTTAGTGTCAGCATCTCACACCTGGATATCTGTGCTTGCCTTGCTGTGGATTTGCAGCTTCACCAAGTCAACCGACTGTTCTCTGTAGCTATAGCAACAGCAACAACAGCTACATTTATTGACCCCTTAGTGTGTATCAAGTATTGTCCTAAGTAATTAACATAAAATGTTAATTAACCCTCAAACAACTCCAACTCTACAAGACAGTTACTGTTATTCTGGTTTTGCTTGTGAGGAAACAGAAATTGTTAAGTTGAGAATTTGCCTGAGGTCATGTAACTAACAAGTGGTAGTGGTTTCTAATTTAAGACTAACTCCAAAACCCATGCCTTGAACTTTCACGCTGTAAAAAAGCAAACTTTTCTGAGACTGTATTCCTTATCCTTCAGAGAGAGAGTCTATGTTATGAAGATGCGGAGACTTGACTGACCTCTGTAAATAACTGGTGAAGAGACTCCCAAGAATTTGCTTGTTCAGATGGCTAATCACATTAACAGAGAACCTAGCTGGGGAGGAGATTAACACTAACAATCACCTGATAAACAAAACCTGAAAGTTAACTTTCTCTCCACAAAATAATAAACAAAAAGGTCAAATATTGCACAACACTTTTGTACAGTACTTATCTCCTTTGATGGTTTTGCATTATTGTACTAAGTCTAGGAACTGTGATTTCCTCAGTAGACCTTCTTTCTGTATGGAGTAGAGCAAAAGTACATGATATGTTTTGGCTCCAGTGCCTATGATTTGCTATCCAACCTCAACCTGTTAATTGAAGTCATCTCACTTTCCTGCTCCATTTTTTATCACCCGAAAAATTTGGGTGTGAATAAGGACGTGAAGAAGGATTATAAGTTAGATGTTAGCATGAATAAATGAATACAGTAGACTCTAAAGTGACACTATAAGGAAATTTGTTGCCTAATCCACCTATCTGAAACAGGGAGCACAAAATTACCCACATCAACATTTGGTGTGGTGAAGAGAAGCATAGGAATGGAGTTTCCAGGTGTAATTATCTGCCCCATCATGGAGTTGACCAGGACCTGGTGGTGATGGTAGATGGTCACTGGGACTTAGAAGCTTCTGGATGGGAAGTCAAGGGAAGGCAGGAAAAGTGAGGGAAGGTAAGTATTTGAAATCACCTCTTTACCTGTCACAGGGCTCCTCTGTGGAGTCTACTGTGACAGCAATCAATGAGACACCATTTGTTAATGACCCTTAGAGTAGTATTATGATGCTCATTTTATAGGCGAGGAAAACGAGTCTCAGATTGCTTCATAGACTTCATTAAGACTCTACCACAAGTATATCGCCAGATGATATTCAAAGTCATTCCTATTTGGTGCCAATGCTATTTTACTATACTGCGCTATCTATGACTCATTTAACCAGTTTCCTCTGCAGAGTACTAGAAATTCTCATATTAATAGTAATTCACTTGCTCATTCATTCCTTTATTTCTGCATAGGTAGCTATTGAGCACATTAAGGTCTAAAATATTTTGAGATTTGATACATCTCAAATACTCTGGTGTGTTCACATCCAAATTCCACAGAACTCAGAAACCTTTTTCTCCTAACAGAAATTAGAAATTAGATTTTCATTTTGCTTTTCACTGAAGAGACACTGACTGGAAATTAGAAGACAAGAATAGAAGTATGGTGTCTCATCCATGTCAAGGGAGCTTGAGTAAAGAGGCATAATCTTAAATAAGTGTGTTTGAGCTGCAAAAGTTTGCTTTGCAGGATGTCGTAGCACAGGGGGCACTGCTGTGTTTTGTGTCTAGATGTCAGCCCCAAAGCTTCATGAAGTTTTAGATGGGGCTTTTTTGAAGGTAGCTGAATGTAGATGTGTGGTTGATTCCTGGTTCAATACTAGGATTCAGGGTCCTGGGATTAAGGATCAGTGACTGCTAGATCGATCAGTCCATGACTTGATTGACACTGCCCTAATTCTGGTAGCCTGGATACAATGTGAGGGACAGAAAGAGGCTTGTCTCTTCTCCCTTGTTGCTCTTGCTATCTTCTGACACCATGTTGCCCCTCTGCCATGTGCCACTCTGCCTAGGAGCCAGCTGATTATGGACTGAAACCTCTACAGACTGTGAGCGTGAAAGTAAAGTTTTCATCCTTTAACTTTTGAGTGTTGACATTTTGTCTCAGCAATGAGAGAAAAGTAACTAAAGCACCTACTGGGAAGTAGTCCTTTCTGCATGTTTCAAGTTCTAGGATTACCCTCTCACCCTGTCCTACCTGAAGCTGGCTTGGTAGCTTCCTGAATCCAATTCACAATCTTTTTTATATCTTCGTAACCTTTTTCCCCGCCCCTCATCATAATTCTACTTCTGCTTCTTACAGAAATTTCTAAAGTAGAAACTCTTGACTACCCTGTTCAACTGAAGAAGTTATGTTCTTATTGCTTGGAATTTCTAGATCTAACCACTGAGTTCATATAGATCTTTTGTCTCACAAATGAATCCCTAATCTTTCATTCACTGAAACTTTACTTGTCTTTTGTTGCTCACCAAGCTTCAGGTTGAATCTTTTTCCCACTTAAACTTCTCATCTGCTTTTTTACATTCTTTTTTTTTTTCTTTTCAGTTACTCTTCAAAGCTTTCAAACTCAGTTTTTTGCTTTTGATCTGAAATCCTGATTTCTCTCAGACTTCCTTCCCCCTTTACCTCTGTCCCCTTTACTTGGTCACCAGCTGGAAGGGAGGTCACTTCTTCTTGAAGCCATACTTCCTGGTTTCATTGTCCTTATTTGCCAAATATTTGCTGTGTACCTGTGGGCTTTACAAACCAGGGCAATGAGATAAGACACACTCTTTATGTGAAAAGGCATACAAGGAAATGCATGCATCTTACAAGAGGATGCTATGTATAGTGATGGTACAGAGGAGGAAATGATCAGCTGATTGGTCAGAGGAGGCATTATGAGTAGAAACAGTAACATCATGTGTACATTCTGGAGGGGTACAATAGTTTGTCCCACTTGGAGAAATTGATGCTATTTGATGCTGTTTAATATTCTTGCAACTTGGGCTCAAATAGAGATGTTTCAAAGAGGTGGGCTGAAGGTGTATGAGGAACTAGATGATGGAGCCCTTTGGATCCCTTGTCAAGGATTTGCATTTTATCCTGACAGGCATGCAGGATGAGTGAAGCGTTTTGGGAAAGAAAGCCACAGCAGTCAGATTTAGAAAGATTATCTGAACTATAGCAAGGAGAATGTATTGGATGTTCATGGACTTCATGGGGGGAGATCAGACAAAGGAGTATTGTAATATGATAAGAAACAAAGTCTAAGCATAAAAAATGAACAATGTTGAACAACTACTAAGATAAAAATATGTAATATATTAACTAGTGTTGATTTCTTACTTTTTTGAAATTCTGTTATTTCTATTTTTTTGTTTTGCTTTTTAAAAATAGAGATAAGTAAGAGACAAAGAGGAGCTAAACAAAAGCCATGATGGTGGAGGAAAAGAGGGGAGAAAAAAATATTGAAAAGATCAACTTGACATTACTTAATGATAGATGAAATACAGGGAATGAGCATAGGTTTCCAGACAAGGCAACCAAATGGACACTGATGTCATTGATTATGATGGGCAGAGTGGGATAAGGAAGTGAGGAGGAAAGGTATGAGTGACTGTGTGATGGGAGATGAGGTTCATCATGGACACCACTTGGATGTGTTCCTTTTGTTTTTCAGCCGTGGTTGAAGGCCTTCAGGTCACAGTGCCTGACAAGAAGAAGGTGGCTATGCTCTTCCAGCCCACGGTACTTCGCTGCCATTTCTCCACATCCTCACATCAGCCTGCAGTTGTGCAATGGAAGTTCAAGTCCTACTGCCAGGATCGCATGGGGGAGTCCTTGGGCATGTCCTCTACCCGCATCCAGTCTCTCAGCAAGAGAAACCTGGAGTGGGACCCATACTTGGACTGCTTAGACAGCAGGCGGACCGTTCGGGTGGTGGCTTCGAAACAGGGCTCCACTGTTACCCTGGGAGATTTCTACAGGGGCAGAGAGATCACAATTGTTCACGGTACTAGTGTCCTTACTTTGAATCTAGGGGATGGGAGGGAGGTTAGTTCCATTCTTCCCAGACACAGGGGGATGTGAGTTTCATCTTTTCAGCCCCTGAAGAGTCCAGTTTTATTGGAGACAGGAGCAGTAAGAGCCTTAGCAAGTTGCTTTAATGGAGTGGTGGGGAACAAAAAGAGAGACCAGTGTAACATGCAGAGAACTCAGAGACGAGCCTTGGAATATTCTTCCCAGAGCCTGACCTTAAATCTGGGAGCTTATTTTCAGAATCGAATTGAAATGGGTTCTAGTGAGAGAAGTTCAGCCACATATCCTACACCTCGATGTTGCTTTACGGTCCATTCCCAAATCCAAAAAAGCACAATTTCCTAAGGAGTTCCTCTGCTGGGAGAAAGGATGCAGGCTTGTAAGTTGCCTTGCCAGGAAGATGACTGGCCTGAGCCCTTAAGACTTTGTATCCACTCTATACTTTCTCTTGCTTCCTAAATTTTGGATAATAAAAAAAGGTCCCAAGAGTCTGACAGGACCTATTTGATTATTCAAATTTTGAAGAATTCCTGTAAAATCGGTTTATTTCTGGGAGTCTAGAATTGCTCTGCAATTTTTCCGGTTCTCAGGGGTCTCTGCAGGCCTCGCTCAAAGCCATCATCTATTTCTGAGGCTGGGTTAGATCTGCTTGTGACTGTGTTCCTATTCTCTCACTTCATGAATGCTACTTTTTGTTATTATTTTGTTGATTTGGTTTTATTATAAGAGCAAACATCTCTTGACCATAGTCCAGGTGAAGAAATGGAACACAGCAGACCCTACTAGGCCTCTCCCCTCTGAATCCCTCTTCATTCAATGCCTTTCTTTCCCAGGATAGAGTTATGGAACTGAGTTCTTTTGTGTGTGTGTGTGTGTGTGTGTGTGTGTGTGTGTGTGTGTGATAACAGATGCAGATCTTCAAATTGGAAAGCTCATGTGGGGAGACAGTGGACTCTATTTCTGCATTATCACCACCCCTGATGACCTGGAAGGCAAAAACGAGGACTCAGTGGAACTGCTGGTGTTGGGTAAGTGAAAACCAGAAGCAATATTTCCATCTTAGATGGCTTGTGTTGACTGTGTCCTTCTCTCACCTCTTCGCTGTGCACACCTTCAGGTTGCATACATAGCTGTTATCTTCTGTGTGCTGATAAAACTGTTTTAGAATATGTTCTTTCTGAGCAGTAACTGTATTTACAATGTCTTGCTCTTGAAGGCAATATCCCTGCCATTTTTACATTGTCACCAAAGTTTCTTCAGCTTTCTTGTTTTCTCCTCTATTTCACTTTAATGTATAACCCTGCCTTCTTGCTTATGTTTTACTAGTCTTTGTATGTGCTAATTGCTAAAGAAAATCCCAGAGGCCTTTGAAATAGGATAGAGACTAGAGAGAAGAACTGTTTGGTGTGCAGACATCACTAGAGACTTCAGGAATCTGTTTCTACTCCACTTAAGACAGTCATAAGGCAAGATAGCAGTTAACTAGAGAGTCTAGAAAAAGATGCTTTTCTGAAAAGAGCTGTTTGGGAGACGTGCTTATGTTTTACAGGGGAGGTGGGGAGGGGCAAATCTCGTGAAATCTGAAAGTGAGTTATTATCAAAGCAAATCCATCTAATTTTCATTAATGTTAATTTTTTCATAACTGAAATCTCCTTACTTTTGGCTATTTTTCATCTTTTGTGGATTGGAGGAATGTTAGTGGGAAATGACGTGTCTTGTACCAAAACTGAAAATGTAACACATACTTTGTTCTCTATAACTGTTCAATGAATAGAAAAATTATAATACAATCAGGTGTGGGACACCTGCCTTTAATCTTAGCACTGAAGGTGAGGTAGGTGGATCATGAGTCTGAGAACAACCTGGGCTGTATAGCGTTCAAGGCCAACCTGACTGTTTAGTGAGAACTTGTCTTAGAAAATAAAAAAGATGCCATTCACCAGACTGGAGTCTAATAAACAAAGCCACACCAGCAGAGAAGCCAAGTCTGGGAACCAGTGCCATGTGTGGGTCACGGGCAGACTGGTACAGACAGACCTTAGCTTCTCCTCGTGAGTTAGTGCCATTTGCGAACTAGTGGTAGAGAGAACAAAGCCACACCAGCAAGCAAGCTCAGTCTGGGAACTAGCGCCAGGCACTAGCCACTGCTGGACTGGAACAGACAGATCCCAGCTCCTTCAGGCACATGGGCTGGCAAACAAGAGGTACCAATGCCCCACTCCTTTGCTGTAAGTGACAGGCTTATCCGCAGAAGCACAGACTATCTATGGAGGTGAAATATAATTGGATGCCTGTGGTGCTTTGATGTCTCACTAACATTGAAGGTCTAGGGCCAGTGGTCTGATCATAGGTTCAGAGGATAGCAATGCACAGTGTGACATCTAGGGGGGATCTCCTTCTGAGGGTTGCAGCCATTGTCTATTCCCTGTGGTCTTGTTTTGAAGTCCTATATCATTTCCATTGTTTTGCTGGGTTGGGTTTTATTCTCTTTTGTTTTGTTTGACTGTGTCAAATCCAATGGAGGGATCAGCTCTTTCAAAGATAGCAAGATATATTAAGGTAGCAATTTTGGCTTATTTTGAAGTCCTTCATTACATTCAATGTTTTGTTTTTATTATTTCTATTCTGTTCTGTTCTATTTGACTTTTACTGTGTTCAAAGTTATCTGCAGCTATTTTGAAGACATCAAAAGGCATTACGTTAACTATTGTAGATTTTGTAATGTTTTGAAGTCCTATATCTTTCATACTGGTTTGTTTTGATTGGTTTTATTCTGTTTTGTCCTCTTTAAAATAAAAAAAATTTAAATTAGAAAATGAAAAAGGAAACAAAAAAATTAGAATAAAATGTACAGAAATCAAGAAAATAAACTGCATCAATTATTGGACAAAGGATAGTTGAGGATATATATTTGAAGTCATTCTTCAAAATAGATTATATTTTTTGGCACTTCCAAAAAGTCAGCTTACAGCAGTTTGGGGGATATGTAAAGGTACCTTGTTTTGAAGGCAAATGAGTTTGAAGGTTGATTTTTACCCTTTATGTGAAACTCAATCCCCAGGGGGGAAATGGCATTTCTACTGAGAATTTTTAGTTCTGATCTTTCTCACATTTGCATGACTTTGGTAAAACAACAGTTCTGATGCCTTTGCATTACATATTACAAATTGGCCTGAGGTAATCTGGTCTACCTTATTAGAAAGTTGACTTCAATCAAACATACTGTTTGGTTCCAACACAGGGAGTATAACTGCTACAACTTGTAGAAGAATCAACATATGACATATTCAAAAGGAAATAAAAATGGAAAAGGTTTATATTGACATTGTAAAAGAACACAGGGAGATCAGATTGGAGATCTACTGTGGCTTTGTAAATCAGAAGGGAATAAATAAGATAAATTTCTGCTTAATCACACAACTCTAATAGCCGAGTCTGCAGGAACAAATGGCTCATTGAACCTGCAATTAGCTAATTGTGAACAGTTATTTGGCCAGGGCAGCCATTTGTGGAGAAGTAATTGTCAATGCAGGACTAAAAAAAAAAAAAAAAAAAAAAAAAGCCAGATAAATAACAGATATGATATTTGATCCTAGTTGTTTTGGAAAGGGGGTAAGCGAAAAGAATGAAAGCTTTGCCAGGTGAAAATGTGCTGAAGTGCATGATAAATGTTCCTCTGGATCAGAAAATGCAATGCAATTTGGGTTGAGGATGCTGGTACGTCGGCTCCTGGCGGGTGGGGTTCAGTGGTCACAGGTAATGGAAGGTAAAATGAAGAACAGAAATCATGTTACTCTGAGAGTAACTGTGCAGGCAAACTAGGAAGGCTGCAAATCAAAATTCATCCCCACAAAATCAGTGCTGTCTAAATAGATACATGGTAGGTTCTTGGGGAATGAAAACACATGACTCTGCTGTTTCACATTAATTAGAGATGTTCAAAGTGTGATAAATTTGTCATGGAAACGTTTTAGGGAAGGCGTGTTATTTAAAGGGCTTAGTTTGAAATCTATGAAGATTTTCTCGGTGTCAGAAGTATAAATACGAAATTCTGAGTCTTGTTTGTCTCGACATCCCTTTATAAAGTGTTTCAAAATACTGTCACGGTTTTAAAAATTCAAGTTGTTGGGTTGTTATGCCCTGCAGCCTAAGGATATATATGCTATTAGGTATTCCTTTTCATGTGAAATGGGAGAGCAGCCTGATTTCTGAGGTCAACCCACAAAGTGATGGAGATGTGGGTGGGAAGACAACTGGAATCCACAGAATGCTAATTACAACATCCAGGAGCCACTGACTCTGTCACTGAATTTTACACAAGGAGTGGTTGGAGGTTTTATTCTAGTGAAAGAGAGCTTAGAATGGGAGCCATGGAAAGTGTCTCCAAATATCTGAAATGAAATTGTTTACAAGAGGGATTGGAAACACACTCTGTCTGGTTAGGTACAACTGAATGAGGAGGTACAAGGGGAGGGAAGTTGATCTCAGTGTAGAGGAAGAACTGTTAACAACTGGAGAAATCTGGGATGCATGCTTTTAGGAGTAATGAGTCCTATATCCCTGGAGATATTCAAGAAGGTGGAACATTTCTAATCAAAGTTATTACATAAGGAAGTTATGCACCCGGAAAGGTACTCAACTAACTTACTTTTGAGCTGTATTTCAATTATAAAAGTCTTGGATTAGAAATAAACAGGACTGACAATGAATAAAAAATGACCTCCAAGGACCAAGTCTTCATCACAGAGACCAACAGGGGAACAGGTTGGTTAGAAAAACACAGCGAGTGATGACCATGCACAGAGATCCCAGAAAGAGTGAGATGTGGTCTAGAGCAGAAGTCAGAGCTACCAGAACTAATCTCACATAGAGTGAAGAAAAGAAGAGAAACCTTTGATCATAACTTGACTAAGTCAGCCATATTAGCTCTTCTTGGAGATGATCACAAAACAGGAAGCAGAAAACTGATTTGAATTTCAGATAATGAGATATAAGGAAAGATGAGATGAAGAAGGCAAGAAACTATAAGAATTTAGTTTCCTCATTTAATTTACAAAGGTGAGGATGGGGGAACAGCTAACAAGGCAAGGTTATAAAGTGTTGTATACCTAAGACTAAGGAGTTTGGACTTTCTCTTGAAAACTCTGGGGAGCCAGTGAAGAAACTTTGGCAGAGGAAGATTAGCTCTCAAGTGAGAATGATGCTTCGCAGGTAGGGCAGGCCGTGTACCAGGGAGGGGAGCCAAAGGAATCAGGTGCACTGTAGCACAGGAGAAAAGTATGAGATTATGAGCCAGGGCAGGGAATTGAAAGCAGGCAACAGAAGGTTTCTGAGATGGAAGAAATGCATGTTGGTGATTCACATATAAAAAGAAACGGAGAGAGGAATGAGTCAAACAGGATACCATGATTTCTAATTAGTTGTGTGGCCAGCCATTTCATCAACTAACAAAGAGGACAGAGGTGGGAAAGTAAGTTAGTAAGGCAAGACAGCGAGCTTGGTTTCGTTGACTATAAGGTGGCTAGGACACCAAGGTGAAGACGCTTTGCTGAGAGTTGGAAACGTAGGTCTGGAACTCAGTGGAGAGCGAAGGTTAGAGATAATGGGTTGAGAATCATGAGCAATAGATAGGCAGAGCCATGAAAGAATAGATGAGTCACCCAGAAAGATAATATAAAGTGAACAGGGCCAGGAACAGAAGCCAGTGGTTTCATATTCTAATTTTACTTCTTGTGAGTGATAATATTGTTACTGTGTGTGAACTTGTCTTGGTTTCCTCCACAAAATGTGAGCCTTTTCGTAACACTGGACTCTTCAGAGTTAAGAACCAATTCTTGTTTGTCTTTCTGTCTGCTAGCAGGGTGTCTAGAATAAAGACACCTCAGTGAACGCTTTTAAATGACAAATGGGCAGAAGCCATAGCTAATACTTTATGCCTTTGACATATACTCAGTGTTGGGTACATATTTGTTGACTGTAAGTAGCCAACACAATAAACATCTACAGTCTTGAGTGATAGAAAATACT